CAAAGGGACTTGGTAGGTAGGAGGTAACCAAGGAGGCAAGTGTCTTCTGTAGCATTACCAGGCTGTTATAAAATATTACTAAGGTCTTCAAAATTATGGGATGGTGTAAAAGAAAATCAAATGTTAAATAATTATACATTTTATGTGATAGTTTAGGGTTTTTTGGCTACAATATGGACTAATTTTGGAGCCTCCAGGTCAGTTATTAACCAGGGTCCTGTGACACCGTGGGGTGCTGTAAGACCTTTTTAAGAGTGCCATGTGCTATTAGCACTGTTAGGTGTACAAATACCTGCACATGATTCACAAGCTAGATCCAGAAACTTCATATAGGAAACCATGGAGTCAAGAACACTTTGACCTGTTGTGGTCACTCTGAGTTTTGCAAGAGAAGTGCTCTATTTTTATTTATTTCTTTTTTACTATGGAAAGAGAAGTGAAAGTTAAGAACTGGCATTTTGAGAGGTGCCTAGAGTATAAAAAGGTTGAAAACTACTGTCTTAGGTTAATGTTGCTTGGAGCAGCTATGAGAATTAGAAACTTCCTTTTCTCTGAAATGAAAGCTGAAAGTCATACATAATCATGTGGATCCAGGAGCTGGAGATTTAAGAAAAACACCAAATATTAGGAGCCTTGTAATAAAACTGGGAGAGCATGTTATGAATGAAGGTCTTGTAAGAGAGATGTAATAATGATGATCTAGAAACTATGTGAGAGGCAAGGATTTCTTGGAGTGATATCTTTTATTGGACCAACTGCATAGTTGGGATAAAGTTAGACAGGCTTTTGAATGCAAGACATTCTTCCTCGTATAATCGGAGACCTGGGGAAGACTGTCTAGCACTTAAAAGCTTGTCTGACTTTAGGTCCAGTAAAAGATATCACCTTAAGAAATCCTTGCCTCTTGCAAATGAAGGTTTGGCATAAGGGCCAGCAGAGCACCTGACGGCACTTGTTGCATGTGATGTCCTAGCATGGTTCCCTTGCTCCTCAGTTGACAAGACACAGGAGCCCTGCAGAAGCCACTGTCCTTGAAAAATCAAATGATTCATAACTGAAACAACCCCATTCTGCCCTCCAGTGCTTCATTGATTTCTGGGCCAGTTTCCAGTCTTGCATACAAGGCTGTATCTTCAGAGTGACACCAGTGGCATATCTGTGTAACTTGGGGGCAGGCAATTATTTTGGGCTGCTTAACAAGTTTTGGTGAGCTGTAGAAGGCTGCATGGGTAGTCCTGCCCCTTCAGAATCAGAAAAAAAACAAATCATACATTAAAAAGCAAATGCCTACTATAACATAATTTTATTACAAAAATATTTTTGTCATGATTTGTTTGCATTTGGTGTATAGAGGTGATTGCATAATAACTCAAAAATAAATAATTAGTTTTGTGTGTGGGGTAGGTGGTAGGATGTGGGGATGTGGCTGTGTGAGGGGGCATAAGGTATGTTGGGGGGTTGTGAATGTGGGGCAGCTGTGGGGGAAGGGTGTGGGTATGAGGGAGGTTGGGGGGGGCTGTGGGGACCCCCCCACATTCCCTCCATGGTGCAGTAGCAGGCAAGGGCAGTCAGTCAGGGCAGAGGCACTGCACATTGCAGCGAGGGACACAACCTCTGCTGGGCAGTCTGTATCGCCAGCGCTCCCTGCCACTCGCGCGGCAGGGAGGGGAGCCCCACGCGGTGGAGCCAGTTGCCTTTCCCATCAGGGCTGTGGCATGGGATGCAAGCCCCAAGCGCTTCCCTCTGCAGGGTGGGGAAGGCAGCCAGCTCCAGCGCCCAAGGCTTCCCTGTCGGGGTTGCGCAGCACCTGAGAGAAGGCAGCCGTCTCCAGCTCGTGGGGCTCCCCTCCCTGTTGCGTGAGTGGCAGGGAGCGCTGGTGACACAGGGCCAGCTCAAGGCCTGCGCCCCTCACTGTGATGTGCAGCACTGGCTGGAACCGTGCCCCACTTGCTGCTGCTGCTGCTGCTGCTGGGGCTGTGTGCCATGGGGGGAGTGTGTCCCTACACCCCCTACTCTCCCTCACACCCACACGCTGCCCCTCGTCCTGCCAGCCCCAGCTCCAGCCCCACAGTCTGCGCTCCCTCCCAGCTGCACCCCACCCCCACTGCTTCCCTACTTGCTGCCTGGAGCAAGTGGGAGAGAGGGAAGTGGGGCAGGTCCCTGGGGCTTGCGGCAGCAGCAGCCCCACACGGAAGCTGCACTCGGGCAGGCCAGGCCCTTCCGCCCATGAGGGTGGGAGCCAGGTAATAGCTTACATTTTGGGGGCTGTGTACATGTGGGCGGAAGGGCTGGGTGGGGGCTGGGGCACAATTTGTTGGGGGTGCCCCACGGGCCAGGTGAAAGTGCTTGGTGGGCTGGAGCTGGCTGTATTTTGCCCACCGCTGGTGTAACTCCTAGCAGAAACGGGCTTTCTCTGGAGCAACTCTTTTAAGCTCTGCTATTTCCTCCGAGAGGGTGAGCAGCATCAATCAAAGGAAGAATCTCAGTGGGGTGAACGTCTGAAGGAAAGAGGATGGAAATGAGGATGAGTGCTCTGAGGAATCAAAGCATCCATCTAATGGAAAATGGCTTGGTAAATGAATCCCTGATCTGTAGCAGTAGGTCTGCAGCAAATGATACAGCAGGAAGCTTACCTGTTGGAGGAATATAGGTCAAGTAAATGAATACATGATGTCAAACAAATCCTGCACTGTGGTGTGGCAGAAGGGATTACACAGGAAAGTGCTTAGAAAAGTGGAGGCTTCAGTTTAGTAGCTAGGCAATCTGTAAGAACAGGAATGAAAGTAAAGTGAAGCCCATGACTATAGAAAAAGGATCCAGTATAACAAGAAGAGTAATGATGGGGAGAGTAAATATGTGCTAGTTTGTTAGGGGCCATATAAAAGGTGAACGAGAGCAGGAGTGCCTGAGTGTGTGTGTGTGTGTGTGTGTGTGTTTGGTATTTTTTTTTTTTTTTT